TGGCAGACGTCCAGATCCAGCGAACATCGAAGCTGATGCTGTCCCCCAAAGATGTAGCAGCACTAAGGTCCTTCCTAGGACTCCTAAGCCATTACAGCTCGTTCCTTCTGCATATGCATCGCTTCGTGGTCTACGGAATGTATTACTGACCAAGGATAAGCCATGGAAGTGGTCCGAAGAATCTCAGAGATCATTTGAGCAGGTGAAAAGACTTCTATGTGCCGATCTTCTGCTGACGCATTACGACCCTACCCTAGAGATTGTAGTGGCCACAAACGCCTCGAACTATGGCATTGGTGCAGTCATAGCCCACAAGTTCGCAAACTGCTCAGAAAAGGCAGTTGCACACGCAGCCAGATCGCTGTTTCCCGCAGAACGAAATTATGGTCCGTTAGAGAAGGAGGCCTTGGCATTAGTTTTCGCACTAAAGAAAATTTCATAAGATGCTTTATCGGAGAAAATTCGCACTTCTTACTGATCATAAACTGCTGCTGGCAATTTTCTGATCAGAGTCAGGCATTCCCATCTGCACAACGAACTGCCTGCAATGTTGGGCCATCACTTTGCTCGGTTACGATTTTTAGCTAAAGCAAATCTGCACAGAGGACATGGGCCAAGCTGTCACGCTTTCTCGACTATTGGATAATCAGCAGCCCCGGAAAGAAGAATCTATCATCGCAGCGATTTTCTTGGAGTATGAAGTCAACGAAGTGCTGATGGAGAGTCAGAAAACTTCCGGTTACTTTCGAAATGGTACGTGATACATTAATCCGAGATCCGGCCCTTCAACAAGCGATCAAGCCTCAAGCATAAACTGACAGGTGAGTTGCATAAGTTGTTCCTAAAGAAGGATGAACTATCAATCGTCAACGGATGCTTATCACTGGCCGAACGAGCTGTCGTCCCCTCAGAGCTTCGCTGCAGGGTTGCACAGCAGTTCTATCGAAGCCGTCCGGGTATTAACAGGATAAAAAGGATTACTCGCAGTTTCCTTTATTGGCCGAAGTCATGTCATTGATGTGCACTTGCCAGTAAGGCGCCCAGAAAGCGGAATTAGTCTGCTGGTCTTTGACAACTTAGCCGTGGGAGCGTATGCATGCATATTTCTTAGGTCCGGTGAATGGGCAACAACATTTTGTTGTTCACGCCTTCAGTAAATGGCCCGAGGTATGCTGCATGGAGCATGTGACCAGTGGTGACGATCAACATACTAAGGAAGTTTTCCAGCCAACATGGAGTGCCAGAGATCCTAGTCACAGACAACGGTTCTCAGTTCACTTCTTCCTGTTTTGCCGAATACTGTGCTCGGAATGGCATTACCCATGTACGCTCATCCACAATCTGACGGACAGGCAGAAAGATTTGTCTAGCTTTGCTGAAAATGAGGAGAGAGGGGACCACGCAGAAGATAATGGGTGGGATTCTACTTGTGTACAAGACAATACCGAATCCCTATGTCCCCAATCAGTTATCACCAGCAGAAGCGTTAATGGGACGACAGCTTCGCACAATGTACACGTTATTGGTTCCGAAACACGATACCCCCGAGAATGGGGACCACTTTAATCAACGAAATAGGGCACAAACAGGCTGATTCTACACAGGACAGAAACTTTTGGTCAGAGACTACCACTGAAAAGATCAAGATGGATGACAGGTATGTTGCAAAGCAGATTTGGACGTGTCTTATATAAGCTTAAAGTGGGGGATTACATTTGGATCAGGCACGCTAATCAGCTTCGGCCAACTAGCATAGGGATAAGCACAAGCAGTCGACCTCTACCGCTGGGTATCCTGATGGACATTTTCGATAAGCCAGTGAGTACACAGAACGCTTCTGAAGCATCTTGCACAACCGTTCCATAAGTGCCGATTATGCAACGAAGACGTTGCTCTGATCGGGTATGAAGAGACGTCATCAGTATGCAGCTGGACCCAAGACGGAAGTCGTATGTCAATTTGCGCGGGGGTATTACAGGTAGATAGCTTACACCCAGCGTTCAAGCCGAGAGTAGTGGCGCAACTGTGGATCGATCCACAATTGGCGATCGAACTCGAGTAGAGATCAAAACGCCAATCTATGTGGAATCTATGCCGCAAGTTGGACCATGAACTTGAACCGTTTGAGTTGCGTTAACTAATATTAATTAACATCTCCAATATTGTTGTGTTATTAGTTGCCTACAACCTATTTATTGCGCCATGCTCTCATACAGTAGTACTCCCTCGGTCCGGCTGGTCTTGGCGTTCTCATTTATCTACGAGTTGAACCGGTTGGAGGCGGCACAGCAGATTCTGACAGGGTATCGGTACAGTCAGCGCAAACCACAACATTTACGTTTGATAGCATCGGCAGAGCACTACGGCTCCAGTTTCTTGATTATTCAATTGCTCTCAGGAGCGTTAACATATCATTCGACCATGTGCTCTCGTGTGGGATTCAAACAAATATATGTAGCGTTATTATTATTACTTTACAAACCGCATCCACTTCACTTAGCTCAACGGAACAAAGTCCTCCACGCGTTGCTCAGATCGTGATGTTTTACGGGGGGGGGCGATTCTCTTTTCCTTTCTCTATTCTTTGTATGTCGAAAATGGTCCTATACCGTCCGACTTTACTGTATACAAATACACCAATGATGTCGTTTATGGGTGTATTGCTCCTACTGTTGTGACAACCTCCACTCTTCAAAGTGGTTTCAAGGAATTCGTGCTTTGGTGGTCATCCAGGTATCTCATTTTGAACACTCCTAAGTGTTGCGATGTAATATCCATTTTTCCTACCTTAACGCTACCCGCTGTATTGGATGCCATTTCTTCACTGGCAGTAAGTGACCAATTCCCTACCCAAGACGTCATCTAGCAAATATCTGGGAACTCAGGCTATCTCCACCTGATGAGTCCAAACCGCTTTCGTGGAGTGGCGGATGAGCAACACCATAGTATTTCAATTTCTCATACGGTCCTTGTTAACGGAATGACCGAGGTCCACCTCAATTGAACTGAGGTCTCAATAGAGGTTTCTTGGTAGCAACCCAACCACACAGCGAATTCTCCGAGTCCAACTTCGAATCTGAAAGTCTATTTTATTCTAAAACCTATTTTACTTTACTCATGTCACCCAACCGTTTTACAAGATTAGAACGTTATCCTTTTATGCCCTCAGACCTAGAATGCTTTCGGTACCTCGTGACTTGATCTTTAAATTTGTGACTGCATGCATCCTGTCTCACTGGCTCTGCTGCTTTGTAGTACTTTTTCTTGGGCTACTTATAAATGAATACACATTGTTCCTACGTTCGCTACAATTTATTTCCAGTTGCACTGGATTGTCTAGAAAGGACATCGTGGATAGTATTGTTCACAAACATGTAGACACTTGTACCAGTTTTCCTTTTTAAACTCCTAAACGATCGTTTGCACCCATTACATGGTGTTCTATCAAAAGCGTTATCTGTTTCCTCCACACGCTCGGCATTTAGAGTCTTATTTTTCTCTCACTGCTTTCATCATAATTCTGTCCTACCGTACTTGTTACGAGTACTTGTGGTCTCAAAAAATCATCATTGTGTTGCGATACTTGCTTGAGTGATTCGCGTTCATATTTTGCTCTTGACACTTTTTTAACATTTCATGTGTTTCTCCATTCGAAATATTGCAAATGTACCTTTGCAGGTGCATAAAGCTTATTTTGACTTGAGAGCCTCAAGAAGTTGTCCCTTCGATACCGCCTTATCTTTCAACGAAGCCAGCTGTTTGTGATCGTATGTTGTTCACAAAGTGTGGACGCCTTAGGTTTGAATGTTTGCTTAGGTTTTAGACTAGGTCCACCTTATCTCACGCTTGGTATTCTTCATTCCTTAGGTCAGCGTGGTTGCTCAGTTCAAATAACTGCTGTTGTTGATGATGGCTGCAGATGTAGTGCCGCTGTTGTTGCTTATTATTATTATTATTGAGCGTCCTTGCTTAGTGCACTTTTATTTGGCCATTGTATAAATAGGGATGGATTACGTTGACGTGGATGCACCTCATGGTTGTCTACTTTGGCTCCGCGTTCGTAGCGGCATCCGATTTCAGATTTGCCTGTCACTGTGGCCAGCCACAGGACGCCTGCTCCTACAGAGGGACCATGGGTGACTGGCACTGCACCACTCACAGCTCCAACCACACACCCCATATCCAGTGTAAACCCGAAGGAATAAGACCGGGAGGCATGTGGATGGGAGCCACGTTTCATCAACGGAGCCGGCCCACACTCCTTCACAGGCAAACGCGAGCACGCTGTGTTTGGGAATCAAGCGCACACAAGGCGGTGGCTGGACCGTGGTCCGCTCCACACTGAGTGCATGGAACCACTCTTCGAGCCTAGCACGACCACAAGGACCGTGCACCCCGTCCCCTCCAGCAACGACCAACTGTCTCCTGGAGCCGGTATGGACGAGGTAGTGGGTAATAGACAGGTAGCCACCTTGTCAACATAGACATCAAGCGCAGCCACAGCGGGCATATCAAGCAACAGCCAGTCACTTGCAACGACAAGATGAAATAAAGTAAATCCAATAATGCGCAGAGATACGATGACGTAACTCTTCGCTAAATTAGCATATGAAGTAAGTTGGTTAGCAACGATTCCGCGATAAGGAAAAAATGTCCACAAGTTAGTTAAAAATGCTACAAACGTAACAAAGTTACGGAAGATAAGCGCAGTTAGTGTAAGCAACGTGGCCAGTTAATAGAACATTATTCGGGTAGGCAGAACAAACCAAATAAAGTGGAATGAAATTTATCCAGCTTAAAAAGACCTAGTTTAAGTGTAAGTTGGTTTAGCCCAATTGCGGTGAAGTAGCATCAAGAATGCAACATCAGCCTCAGCATGGCGCATCCACAAGCTTAGTTACTAAGAGACCACCTACAAGTTCTGCTAACTTGTCATCAGTGCCGCTGCTACCGTCATTTCTGAGCTGAACAATCTGTAGGTTACGTGCTTTAATAAACCCATGTACGCGCTGCGTACGACAGGTATGATGTCACAATATTAAAAAGTGCAATTTTTCTGACCTGCGTGGCATTTTTTCACGCAATGTCAAACCGATTCTTATGGCGTGTTACTTTAATAGCGCCATCCAACAATCACGGACCCATCCTATCCCTTCTACGTCACTGTTTATTGTCTGGGATCTGAGGCTGAACACTAAACAAATTGATGAGCGCGGGAACTAACTAGTTGTATCGTTTGAATGATTGAGTGCGATTGGCATCTCCTGTTTATCATTTTCTTAGTTTAGTGCATTCGTATGACCCTGATTAGCACGAGGCAGCCCCAGAACGGCTGGTCATCTGATTGTGGAGTTGCGTGACCATCACGTGGTCACGTGGTGGTATGACGCATCACAAGGTCGCTCTTGCCATACACTGGATCCCGACAGTAGCTAATGTGTCATCAAATTGTGTTCTGCTTTTCATTTCAGGCCTCGCAAGCGAGCTCAATTTATCAGTTTGGTTACCAAAAATGCAACAGAAACTTGTCCACATCGCAGCTAAACGTGGCTGTGCTGTTTGCGCAGCGCTGGTCGAACGAACTGCGAAAAGCCCCCAATCCGCACAGCTTCATGTGTTGCCAATGGGTCAGATAAACATACCATCCCTTACCCAGTATCAATCCAGTCTGCAATCTATCAAACAGATTAGCCCCTTCGATCGTTCAGTTGAACATCGGTCTAAATCGCTTATTGCCTGGCGGCCTACAGGTTGGTCGCATCAGGGCAGGAAGAAGGACGCTGACACACTTGTGCAACTCACTTTGAATGCATTACCTTCCAAGACACCTGGTGTGAAACTTGAACGATCCCACGGGAGCATTCGCATTTACGGTAGGCTTTATTTGCTACTGTTGTTGCATAAGTACCTGTGTTCGATCTCGACCTAATTGCACTCATCTTTTTAGGTTCACTATGTATGCGACTGGAAACCCCCTATTTGGTTCAGCAGGGCACAGACCTGACAAGCACCGTTTAGTGGTTTGTCAGAGATTCTTATGGCCAAAGATCGATTGGCTCCCTTCAGAGAAGTCTTGTCATCGGCTACAGCTTACAGATTGACGCGTGCAGTCTGAAGTGAAAAATTCCAGTCATTTGTTAGGCGAACTGTTCGCTGCAAACGTTTCATCATCAGTCGTGGTGACATCATCAGTCCGTTAGCGTATCACACTTCGACTGGTGACGAAACGTGTGTAACGAAATTGCCAAGCTCAACGAACAGTTCGGCTAATAATTAGACAACCGGAACTGCCTACATTTACTTACTATTCTAGCTATCTGTTCTTACAGATACTTTCGATATATGCTGTGCTTCCCAAAATGGTAGCTGAACAGAGACGTCGAAATTTGCTTAGCATCTCGGATAAAAACTGCGGGTGGCATTCGTGACAACAAGTTGCGATACACGCTATATCACACGTCTAACTAGTGATGTCTGCTAATGGAGCCAGCGAATGGAGTGAGTGTCCTGTTCGGAACTAACCATGTGCTCTTGGGAGGTCTCAGGTGTACATGAATACAGTATGGTCAACCACATGGCGAGATTATATTATCAGCAGTTCGCTGTATGCATCAAACGATTGCTTCCCCTAGACTAATAAGTAGCGCGGTTTCTTTCAATTTTCGTCCCGATTGTCGTAAGCAGCGAGCCCATTTACAGTTCATTGGATCATCCGAGGAATCTGCATCATTTATCCTAAGCATGTTGTGTCCAACGTTTTCAATGAAAATAGCCATGCTACAACACGAGACGGTGAATTGAAAGCCTGCCTCACGTCTGTGTTTGTATCAGGTTCACGGAATCGCCGATTGCATTGATCTTAGATACCGTGTGTCTTGGCTCAACCAAAGGGTTAGTGTTATTACCTCCAATCTTCAACCGCCAACTTTCCTAGCTTTCTCTTCCTCCGTTTTTTCCCTCGCTTTTTTATCGACCAGTTTTGTTTTGTTGGGTTGGCGGTACCCCCTTCCGGATTTGCCTGTCACTGCGACCTCCAACGGAACAGTCAGGGCATCTGCGCCTACAGAGGGACCGTGGGTAGCTGGCGCTGCAACACCCACAGCTTCATCTACACACCGCATATCCAGTGTAAACCCGAAGGAATGTGACCGGGAGGCATATGGATGGGAGCCACGTTTCATCAACGGAGCCGACCCTCACTCATTCAACATGCACATCAGCAGCATTCCTGGCTATCTAGTTCGGGAATCATGTGTACCGGACGTACACAAAGCGGTGGCTCGGCCGTAGTCCGCTCCCCATTGAATGGATCCACTCTTTGAGCCTAGCACGGCCACTAGGACTGTACACCCCTTCCGCCCCAGAAATCGAGGTGGTGGGTGTTAGACAGATAGGCACCTTATCGATCTTTCACTACAAGCGCAGCCACACCGGAGATATCAAAACAACCAACACAGAATTTGAAGGAATGTAAGCAGACAAGATGACACGGAATATGCAGCAGAATAACGGAATTGAGCAGATCAAATAAAGTGGAAAACCTTTTATCCAAATTAAGAATATCTAGTTTAAATGTGAGTTGATTTAGCTCGACTGCGGTGAAGAAGCATGAAGCGACCATCGCTGTATTCTTAGCCCACGCGCGACTGGTGATGATTACGTAGCAGCGAAGCGTCAGTACTGCGTACCAACTGATGTGCGGATTTGTGTTTTCATCGCATCGTTTTGTGCCATTCATCCGGAGCTGTTCGTTTCCAGAAGAGTTTCGTTGCATTCGGAGGTGCAAACCATCGTATAAGTTCATCTAGACCAGAAATGTCCATACTTCTCGTAAGGAGGGCCGCATTTTGTGAGGTAAAAATATGTCGGGCCATATTCATTCTGACATTAAGGTAATAACCAAAAATGACGTATCTTACAAACTTTTAATGTCAATGATGAAAGTGAGATTTGGAGATCTTTTGCATTTTTTGATTTAGTAAAAACCCCTTTAGTAAAAGTACTAGATTGACTTTTCCTAGCTGATTTAAAATAAACAACACATCAATGCTTTTTTCCGTTATCTGACCATATCGAACTTTGTACACGTAACCCTTAATTTTTTGTAATATTTATACTATCTTCTGTGCGGGAACAATGCAAGCTTGAATTTATTATTTCATGATGAAGCCGCGGGCGAGTTGATATGTTAACGCGGGCCGGACTTTGAATATCCCTGATATCTGGGGCAACCTCCTGTTTGATTGAGGAAAGTGTTCCGAAGATGGTTATCCGAAAAAACTACCTTCACAAAATATTCCGCTGAGGTTATTTTATTGGGGATATGTTAAGGAGAAGATTGTAGATGTTGCCAGGAAATCTTTGATGTATGGATTGCATCCAAAAAGCAGTCACTCACCAACACCACTTAACGGATGACGTACCAGAATCTAGCTAACACCAAGCGGTGCTTCTGCTCAGAGGCCTAGCAAGGTAGGGGTGGTGTTTTTACTACCGTTAATTGTTCAGTACCAAATATAAAGTGCAAAACTTTCAGATAAGCTGAGGGTTGAATATTTTACTTTTACTTTATATGACCAACAACACCTTGCGCCATGTGTCTCAGCTGTGCAAACGTTCCTCCCAGCAACTCCCTTAATTGTCCCACTGTGGTCACTTTCACCACATTTATCTCAGCGTAGCAAACGATCATCCATTTCATCGAGAACTAATGTGCATATATATATATATATATATATATATATATATATATATAGCCCGGAGAACCTATGGTGCGCTGAGGCTGGTGGTGGCGGGATCCTGACAGATGGTCTAACCACTGTTGCTACTCTTGTGCCATTGGCTCATGTCCTAGACGCCTCCTCGGGGCGACCGCTGGGTGGGGTTTGGGTTTCGCCCTTCTCCCTGTTAAGATCCAGAACACCAATCCGCATGAGTCAGTGAACTGACCATGTGCTAGACCCGCTGCATTTCGGGTGTACATTTAATCGAAGGCTTTGGCTAAGAACCCGAGTCGTTCTCCCGTCAAATGTGGCCGCCCCGCCAGTATCTTAGTCTTCGGAGGTTAGGAATTGTTCGATAACCCTCTTCCCGTAAAACCTAGCCATGGGAGACAACAGGTCTACGGGTTATAAGCTCACAGCTCGATTGGCGTAGAACACGACGCCACGCATTGTCTCTGACGGTGGGAGGGCACCTCCGGGTGTTCAATGGTTTACTACTGCCCGCCTCAAGCCAGGCAGCCCCTGGTCAAATTGGTGCAAACCCGCCAAAACCCTACTGCGTCTGGCCATGGTCGCAGGTGCGTATCCTACTACGGTCGCAAAACTTATATGAATCGTTCCAGTACCTCAAAGGCTGCGTGTGACCACCGTCAAACAGATCCCAATCTGTCTGTGCAATCACATTGCTGAGCAGGATTTCCTCCCCACTGCCTTGTGGGTCAGGCTATCGAGCCAAATGCTCCGGGCGGACTCCCTCAAACAAACCTCCGAAGCGCAACCGCCACCTCGCGTGCGATTGCCCACCAATGCAATCGTATGCCTACCCACAAATCACTCAGCATCGGGTGCTGGAACGTGCGCACACTACTGCACCGGAACTCCAGCGAGCGCCCGTAGCGACGCACTGCACTGGTCGCGATGGAACTGGCGCGTTACACCATCGATATTGCGGCGCTCAGTGAAATCCGGCTCGCTGAGCAAGGTAACTTGCATGGAGCAGATGCTGGCTACACGTTCTACTGGGTGGGCAACACTGCCTCAGCACCACGTGAACATGGGATAGGATTTGCAATATCCGATCGCCTCCATGGCCAGCTGGTGGGTGAACCAACTGGCATCAGCACGCTACTGATGACCGCTCGCCTACGACTCGGAAGAGGTAAGTTTGCCACCTTTATAAGCACGTACGGTCCAACCATGTGTTATTCTGATGACACGCGTGATCAATTCTACACTCAGCTATCCTCCGTGATATGGTCTGTGCCGAGGAGCGACCGACTATTTCTGCTGGGTGATTACAACGCGCGCGTTGGGCGTGATGCATCGCTGTGGACAAATGTCATCGGTGCGCATGGCATTGGTTCAGCGAATGCGAACAGTAACAGGCTGCTCTCACTGTGTGCCACTCACGGCCTGACGATCACGAACACTCGGTTTGCACTGAGTGCGAGTGCTATAGCAACTTGGACGCACCCACGGAGTGGTCACGCTCACCTGCTCGACTATGTCATCGTACGTCAGCGTGATATGCGTGAAGTGCGCATAACACGTGTACTACGTGGAGCTGAGTGTGGCACTAATCACAAATTGGTGCGCACCAAACTGAACATATACTTTCTCAAATCTATGTATTGCACTCCCGCAGTGGATCGGCGTAAATTTAACATTCTCTCCCTCGGTGCTGTGCGAAACGTACTGAGCTGGAGAAGGCGATGGCTGCACGCCTGTGTGATGTGGACTGCATAGCCATAGTGGGCGACTTGTGGCACCACATTCGCGACCAGGTGACAGCTGCTGCCGAGGAGACCATCGGGCGCGCAAACTGTAACCGGCCTGAATAGTTTGATGACAACAATGCGACGATTGGTGCACTGGTGTCGGAGAAGAATGCAGCATTTGCTGCACATGTGGCAGACCCCAGTGACTTGGTAAAGAGTAGTCAGTTTCGCAAACTTCGAAGGCGACTTACCCGAGAGCTTCGTTGCATCAAAATGCATGGTGAACGGAAAAGGCGAAGCAGATGGAATGCTACGCCGAACGCCGCCAACACAAGGAATTCTTTGACTCCTTGAAGGCGGTGTATGTACCGAGATTGGAGACGTTGAGGACGCTGATCGATGGTAGTTCAGGCGTTACCTGCACGCAGACTGCAGACATAATGCAGATCTGGCGGAAACACTTTGAGTATCTCTTGAACAACCGTTCGGAGATCGACTGGCCTACATTAAACGGCCTCAAGCAGCACGATGTGAAGGCGGATCTGGCGGATACGCCGACACTGGATGAGACGCAGAGAGCACTTGCTCAGCTGCGAAACGGCAAGTGTGCCGGTGCCTACGGGATCCCGCCTGAAGTATTGAAACACGGCGGACCCGCGTTGTTGAATGCGCTGCACCACTTGGTGCAACGCGTGTGGATTGAGGAGGAGGTGCCTCCTGAGCTGAAGGATGCCCTTGTGCTACCACTGTACAAGGGCAAAGGGAGCAAGCAATGTTACACGAATTATCGTGGCATCAACTTGCTGAGTTGTGTGGGCAAGGTGATTGCCCGAATCCTGCTCAACCGCCTCGTCAGTCAGGTTGTGGAATCTAACGTGGCGGAGGAGCAGTGTGGATTCCGTTCTGGTCGCAGCACTATGGATATGGTGTTTGCGGCTCGTCAGTTGTAGGAGAAGTGCAGAGAACGACACCAGCCATTGTACTCGCTTTTTGTTGATTTCACCAAGGCATTTGATACGGTGAACCGCGAGGCATTGTGGCTGGTGTTGGGTAAGTTTGGTTGCCCGCGTAAGTTTGTAAGTTTAATTGAATGTCTGCACAGTGGTATGCGACCGAGAGTGCAGCTGAGTGGAGAGACCTCGGATGACTTTGCAGTTGTCTCTGGTGTGAAGCAAGGCTGTGTCTTAGCTCCTGCCCTGTTTAATATATATCTTCATGCAATGTTGTCTTGCGCTTTTGATGCGGCTTGTGCTTACGGTGTTCGTGTGGAGCACCGTATTGATGGTGGGTTGCTGAACATCCGTCGTTTCGGTGCGAGAACTCTAGTCTGTGAGACAACTATCCGTATGTTGCTGTTTGCTGACGACTGTGCGTTGTTTTTACACAGCGCGGATGAGTTGCAACACATGACTAGTGCTCTGGCTTCGACAACGGCCAAATTTGGGTTCACCATCAACACAATCAAAACTGTCTGTCTCTTTCAGCCTTCACCGGAGGTGCAAGCTTCAATATTGCCGCGAATCAGCATTGGTGCTGAAGTATTAGAAACCACCTCCCGTTTCAGTTACCTTGGGATTGTGATGTCTACTGATCAGCAGCTACACAGTGAGCTGTGTATTCGCGTGTCGAAGGCAGCAGCAGCATTCGGGTAGCTTGAGTCCTGAGTGTGGAACAACCATCAGCTTACCATTGGCACGAAGCTGATGGTGTACAAATCCATGGTACTGTCCGTTCTTCTATACTGCAGTGAAACGTGGACGATGTACCGTCGGGATGTGCGATATCTCGAGCGGTTCCATCAGCAGTGTCTGCGAAGGATTTTGCGCATCGGTTGGGGCGACAGAGTTGCAGACACGGAAGTTTTGCGCCGAAGTGGGATGTATGCAGTGGACTGCATACTTTTACTGCGACACCTGAGATGGCTCGGTCATGTGAGCCGTATGGATTCGACGCGAATACCGAAACAACTCTTATACGGTCAGCTGAGTATTGGGAAGCGGTACGTAGGGAAACCAAAGTTACGATACCAGGACATGATCAAAGTGAGCCTCACACGTTCTAACCTTGATTGCAGATCATGGGAATCGAAGGCGATTGATCGGCTTGCATGGCGCGATCTGATCACGAAGGCAGTTGCTGAGGTGCCGGAGAAAGCCCTCATACATGCAGAGAAGAAGCGGCAAGTGCGGAAGCGGCAAGCACCGATGGGTTGTTCTTCATCGACATCAAGCGCATGGTGCTGTAGAACATGCGGTCGCGAGTGCCTTAGTCAGGCAGGCTTAGTGAGCCATGAGCGAGGCCACTCAGGACTACTACCGAAGCGACGACGGGTCCTGCAAAGAACTTAGGTAGAACCGGCACAGCGTTTGTAGGTACGCTGTATTCGATTTACTAACCGCGTGCTTGCATGCTAAGTCTCTATTTCAGGTGGTGGGTTTTCAGTTTTGTCCTAATGCCTTTATTTCCCATATAAATATCTAGTGAGCCATGAGCGAGGCCACTCGGGACCACTACAGAAGTGACGACGGGTCCTGCAGAGAAGTATTCAGAACCGGCGCAGCGTTTGTAGGTACGCTGCATTCGATTTACTACCTGCGTGCTTGCATGCTAAGTCTCTTTATTTCAGGTGGTGGGTTTTCAATTTTGCCTTAATGCTTCTCTTTCTCATATAAATATCTCCCTGTACTCTATTTCATTAACTTGCACACCTCGCTTAAGCCAATTGTATTCGATTTCCATAACATTTTTGTATTCGTAGCATTTCCGTAAAGTATACTTTCTGACCTCGTGAACTTATCTAGGATTCTTTTGTAAACAACTTATTTCATATGCTCATTAACTTAAGGTTTATGTCACTGTTTCCTTATGCATTAATGGAGTTATTTTCTTTGTCTGTCTCTCTCAAGTGATTGGCTATTGTTTGATATCCGCGGTGTGGCTGCGCTTGATGTGCATGTTAACAAGGTGCCTACCTGTCTATTAACCAGTACCTCGTCCATACTGGCTCCAGGAGACAGTTGGTCGTTGCTGGAGGAGACGGGGTGCACGGTCCTTGTGGTCGTGCTAGGCTCGAAGTGTGGTTCCATGCACTCAGTGTGGAGCGGACTACGGTCCAGCCACCGCCTTGTGTGCGGTTGATTCCCCAAACACAGCGTGCTTGTGTTTGCCTGTGAAGGAGTGTGGGCCGGCTCCTTTGATGAAACGTGGCTACCATCCGCATGTATCCCGGTCTTATTCCATCGGGTTTACACTGGATATGGGGTGTGTGGATGGAGCTGTGGGTGGTGCAGCGCAAGCCACCTATGCTCCCTCTGTAGGAGCAGGCGTCCTGTGGCTGGCCACAGTGACAGGCAAATCCGAAACCGGATGCGGCCAACCATGTATATATATATATATATATATATATATATATATATATATATATATATATATATGGGACAGGTTATGGCCATGCCACGACTAGTACCCGTGTCTCCAACTGTGACTTTCATTTGCATGCATCTCTTAGGTCTCCGTTTACACTTGATATGGAGTGAGTGAGACAACGCAGTCGCTGTAACAAGCAACTCCGGTCCCATCTCTTGGCACACCGAGCTCACTGATTCCTCGTGTCTAACGAAGGACCACGCACTATTCAATCGTGTCACTTGAATGGACCCTGCTCTCATCGCGCTGATTCACGAACACATAGAGACTACGATTCCACCGATAAGGAAGGCAAAGCTGTGCACCAGATTTTGTGCTGATTCAATCAATTTTGTCGCTTTCGTTTATGGTCTACACATTAGGTCCGGTCAACACGCCGATCTTATTGTCCCGCATGCTGAAATGATTGGAATACTGGTGCAAGCTCTCTTTTCTTTGTGTCGCTACGTTGCATTCTGTGAATTTCTGCGTTAGTAGATTATGTCTTCACATACCAGCAGCACATCTGCGAGGTTCGGAATGTACGCATGCAGATGTTTCTGACTGCTGCTTTGACATCTGTATGCCTGCACGCGCATGTCGTTAGCGCACAAGCGGTGTCATTGGTCTCACTTCGTTGCGGTCACGGTCGGTCGCCTCGGATGTGCATGCAAGTGAGCTATGTGTGCTTTTCAGCGTCCGTCACATGATTGCACCGAGGCTTTGTTCCACTGCTCTGAGCACACTACATTCGACCTTGTGATTGTTCCGCATTTTGTGCACAAGCGGCGGTGCGCTTGTCTGTCATTTTGCTCCGATGTTGTACCTACAAGAAGTGCCATTTTATCTCTGCCCAAAGTTAGAAGTTGAAACTAAATGTTGTCATGTGATACGTGTGCGTCAGCTTGAAGTGCAATGTACTAAGGATCTGAAGGTCCGGTTTCAGTCGGAAGTGCAGCATCGACAATAGTCCACAGTGTAGCAGCTTTCCATCTTGTTATTCTTAATATTCGCCGTTCTCCGACCGTAATCCCATTTCGTCTCTTTGTACAGGTGCGGCGTACAGCGAACACAGCAGTTCTAGCGAACTGAAGACGTTCATCACACAACTCCGTCCAAAGCGTGTACAGCCGACAGTTTGGAACAAAGGATTGAACGCTCAGGAATACATCAATGGTTGGCTGCATTCGAACTGAAATATTATCCGGCCCTTTTTTACGGAACTGATAAGATGTAATTTTTTTAACTCAGATTTTTATCTCCTATTTCGTATTCGTATATCCCACAGCACTCTGTTTTTGGGTCAATACACACCTCGCAAACCACGGTCGTCGTTTATTTGTTTAAACCAACACCGTAATGATTGGCAAAGAATGCAGTCGAACTTTTCGGAATTCAGTCAATTGAGCCGATCGCCTGCCGAAGTGCGATGTACCCAGTTGTCTCTCGGTTCGGGGCATCAAATCATTAGTATTACTATCGTTGAAACTGTTGTTTCAGGGGTAGAACTCAAAATCATTAGACGTAGTATTTAAAAGTTAGCAACGAGGGAGTGTGCGATGGTGTCGCTGGCTTCACGACTGCATGTTGTTCGACAGACTGCAATACATCAGCCATTTGAACGGTTGTTTCGCTGCCGTGCTAGCCTGACGACCTACGGAACGAATAGTAAGAAGGACATAGCGTAAAGCCTTACTACTCTAACCAAGCACTCAGGTTTAAAGCGCCTACACCTTGTGTCAGCAACAGGTGGCTGTCGTGCAAAGAGAAGGCTGCATCAGTGAGACAGCTTCCTTGCGACCTGCACTGCCCAAGCCATAACATCGCGAATAACACAAAAATGCAACTCATTGCGACGATGTCACCTGACCTAATAACCTAGCAAGTAGATCAGGGAATAAACGGCATCCGATACGGCGTTGATCTCGAGGCTGTGCTCCCTTGTCAGTCCACCCGTCTCATTGCACAAATCTCTCGTTTCCAGTGGTGGACGGAACTCGTTTAAGAGATGTGCGTTCTCACACTGTTCCGCGGCTAATGCGCTAGTGATACCTCATCTACCACCGTCGTCAACGCACCACCACATGCTGGCAGATTTTTTTCAACTCTTTTTGGGTTTTTGATTTAGCTTCGAGACAATCAGCCTATCAGGTCTAGTTGGTCGTCGCAATGAAACTACGGAGTAAAGGTGCGATGCATCATCATCAAACTAATACTAATATGACACACAATACCGGTGTGATGACCGAGCTTGTAGAGGATGAAAAATCTTACATTTTGGTGATGTGGTAAGGGTAATTCAACCACACAAGTTTTATTGTCCAAGTACACTTCACCCGGCTACCTGGATATTTGAGACTTCACACACACACACCATCCAAATGGACTATTTGGACATATGCCGGTTGTTTGACAGTAAGTTGGGCGAGCCAATTCGTTAGGAATTCGGGGTACCACCAGCGAACTGCTGTCTCTCTTACTGATTACCATTAAACCGGAACCCCACGAATAAAAGAAAACAGCTCATGAGCACTGAAGATCGTAATCGCTCGCGCATTTCACCAGCGTCCATCCAACCGTGACGCTCCTACCGCTAAGCAGAAATAGTGCCCGGCGTGACATCACATGTGGCGGGGACCACAACTTATGAATTGATCCAATCGAGATACAGCGCGGCGATCACCTACACAATGGTTACACTGAACATTGGGGCCGGAGCGCATATTATCTGGAAATACAATAAATCACAACGAATGTTTCCGTCACTTCCAGAGTCGTGCAAGAGTTGCTCAGCGCCTCCACGAAGCATTGGAGGCTAGCTGTTTTGCTAGCCATCTTACCTCCACAAAATGGTGCGCTGTGATCGTAAGGCGTCTTCAAAGCGGAGTGCCTTGCCTCTGAGTG